GCGGTCGCCGTCCGATCTCCGCTACCAGACCCGGGCGCGCACTGCGGCCAAACGCTTTGTGGGCCCGACTCCTCCCAGGCTCAGAGCGCCCAGTGCGGGCGGCTCCCACGCCTAGTTCACTGAGGGGGAAACTGAGTCACAGAGCTCGAGGAGCTGGGGCTTGACGGATTACAGAGCCCCACACCCGTGGGACCTGAGCTCTGCCTTCCCCGCGCCTCGGCTTCACCGTCTTCCACCAGGGATGGGAGGTGGGAGACGCCCGCAGATACCCTCTGTGCAGAGTGGCTCCTGGATCCCCGACTTCTGGCCTCCAGAAATGGGAGAGAATGAATTCCTGCTGTTCAGGCTCCCAGGCCTGGTACCTGAGTCCAGTGAGACGGGAGGTGGACTCCCTGACCAGCCCATCCCCGAGAGTGACGTGTCCTCGCCAGCCTCGAAAGCAGAAGCGTTGAGCTCCACAGGCTTTGAGGACGGGTGTGTGCACGTGTGCGTGCAGGTGTGTGTGCCATGTGTGCAAGACGCGGGGGAGGGATGTGGGCTGGGGCTCCCTGGCCCCCACGGCTCCTGCAGCGGCCAGGGCCTCTCCAAGGAGGCAGACCCCGCTTGGCTCATCCCAGGCCAGGTGCTCACGTCAGGGCCTGGAATACTTGCCTCCACCCCAGGCCACAGGCACCATTATGACCCCGGTTAGCCACGAGGAAACAGGCTCAGAGGGTGGAGGGCTGGCTGCAGGAGCCTGGCCTGCGCCAGGTCTAACCCTGTGCAGTGCTGCTGTCCACAGAGGACCCCCATCCCGTCCAGCCCAGCCCCATTCCCGCAGCCCAGGAGCTGGCTAAAGCCAGGCACTGGGAGCATGACCTGACGAGTCTGGCACAGAGACCAGAAGGACAGACATCCCTTGAGGGGAGGCAGTGGCCACAGGCAGCCAGATGAAGTGCTGGCCAGCTGGCCACTTGGCCCAGCCACTTGGGCAGACGGCAGCCAGTCCGGGCCCAGCAGGCCGCCTAATGAGTCCCACACAATTTTTCACCCCATATTTTTCCAACAAAAAAGCAGTTAAGACACAAACCGCAGTGTCCCGGATGGGCCATCTGGCTGCCCGGCTCCTGAGCCTTCTGCCAGCACAGGCCGCTTCCCCACCCACGGCGGGACCCAGAGCAGGGCTGGAGTGAAGGGGGTGGGGGAGCCCTGCAGTGACAGCGCTGACACTCTGCAATCCCGGGGAGCCTGGGAAGGACCGCACCATGAACATCTCTGGCACCTGGTCCTCGGCCAGGTGAAGCTGGGGCCCCCACACCTGGGGAGATCGTGTGCCCCCAGAACCCCCCACAGGAGAACCCAGGACCTTCCTGCCAGGCCTCCAAGACACGCCCTGTGGGGTCAAGGTCAGCTGGAGGGGAGTCAAGCAGAGGCTTACCTTGTCGTCCCCGTCGCTCTCGCTGTCACACTGTGGGGAGAGAGAGGGGGTGTTAGCACCTACAGTACCCCACACCTGGCCAGGCGGGTTTCACCAGAGGCCACAGGGCAGGCACCAGAGCGAGGGAGTGTGGGAGCGATGGGGGAGGCAGCTCTGGCAGCCCCACAACACGACTGGGCCTCAGGCCTGGGGTGGGAGGGTGTCCTCGGACAGTGGGACCAGGAGCCCAGGCTCCAGGAGCTCTATTGAACCCGTGGAATGTCGCGGGGCAGGCAAGGCAGAGGTGAGGCAGGCAGACATACCCACCCCAGAGCAGACACGGGGCAAGAGTAAGCCATGAAGCCCCCATGCCCTAGCCAACCAGGGCCCCCTCCTTACCCAGGGCCAGCTGGAGCCTAGCCTTGGGCAGATGGGCTCTATGAAGGGGAGGCAGGGACGGTGAGGGGCGGGTGCGGTTTGAGACCCCTGGGGAAGACAAGGGGCCAAGGCGCCGCCAGCGGGGAGGGGAGCTGGGATACCCACCCCACTTGCCCCTGAAGATGCCCTAGCAGAAAAGGCTCAGCGTTAGTTCAGCTGGTTAAGGGAAGATTGTGATAATCACACACAAAGATCTGTTTGTCAGTTAGCAGAGCTTTAAAGGAAAGACTCCTCCAAAAACCACAGCAATTTCCCCCCAAAAGAACATAAAGGAAGAAATCCCTTCCCAACAACTGTAATTACAACACATTCGAGTCAAATGAGTTATGTTGCTGAAAACACACCTCTCTGGGGTGCACGGGGGTGCTGGGCCTCACACCGTGCAGTTTCTGGGGTGGCTGCCACTTGATTAACCCAGGCCACTGGTGCTGTGACATCCCATGCGAACATGTGGGCCCAGTCTCCTGCCACACAACCAAATGGGGGGGCGGGGAGAGCATGGGTGGCTGAGAGCTGGTGGGAGGCAGGACAGGCACAGTAGGAAGGCAGAGGGGGACACAGGAGAGGAGGCGTGATCATCACTGCCCCCGAGTGTGGACTGAACTCTGCCAAGGAGCCAGAGGGAAAGTCAGGGTGGTGACAGGCACCTAGGCCAGAAGAGAGGGATGGTGATTCGGGTCGGGGCCTGTGGGACGTCAGGAACCCGACTGTGCAGCTGCTGGCGGAGCTGCCAGAAACCCCCAATCCAGCCCCTTCCTGCTTAATTAGCGGCTCTAAGCCCTGGAGGGGGAAACTGCACACCCATCAAATGAGGGGGAGTGCTCACATGCACACGCCTGTCACCTGGCACCCGGAACCACCCCCGGCCATTTCCCATCTCTCCCCACAGCTCTGGGACCATCGGTCGGTGTCACCCATGAGAGCTTAATGATCCAGCTTCAAGGAGGGGTGAGGGTGCTTTCCGGAGAGCACACAGATCCTATAATTAACCACACAGCACACGCCTGTCAGCCGCACAGGCCGCGTCGCAAATGAATTCACGTTATTAACTCCTATGGAATTAATGTTTAACTGCAGTGGAGCTGGAATTGAACGAGGCAATTAATCAGGGCAAGGAGGGAAAAAGCCACATCTGTCTTGCAGGAGCTGCCTGCCAGAGGTGACTTTCACGGGGTCAGGCTGGGCTGGGACGGCCCTGGGGTGGCCGTCTGGGGTAGGGGTCCAGACGGGGCGTCCATGGAGGAAGGGCAGACCCCAGGCCCCAAGGGGATGTGCTGGGTATGGAGGGGAGGCCAAGACATGGGCTCTGGAGCAGATGTCTGCTCTGATTCTGTGTGTCACCTATGCTCTGCAGCCTTGGGCAAGCCTCTTGACCTCTCTGTGCCTCAGTTTATGCTTCTGTAAAGCAGAGACAACAGCCCACCTACAGGGTTGTTGTTGTGCGGCTTAAACGAGTGAATATGTGCAAAGGTTGGGACAGTGCTGGGTATAAACAGCATGATATAGTGTGATGGTGTCTTCATCATCACACCACCGTCACCACCATCACCACCGTTACCACCACGACCTCCATCACCACCATCACCATGACCACCACCACGACCTCCATCACCATGACCTCCATCACCACCATCACCACAGTCACCACTGTCACCACCACGACCTCTATCACCACCATCACCATGACCTCCATCACCACGACCTCTATCACCACCATCACCACTATCACCTCCATCATCACCGTCACCACGACCTCCATCACCACCATCACCATGACCACCACCACCACGACCTCTATCACCACCATCACCACCTCCATCACCACGACCTCTATCACCACCACCACCACCACAGTCACCACCATCACCACCACGACCTCCATCACCATGACCTCCATCACCGCTATCACCTCCATCATCACCATCACCACCACGACCTCCATCACCACCACGACCTCCATCACCATGACCTCTATCACCATCACCGCTATCACCTCCATCACCACCACCACCACCATCACCACCACAACCTCCATTCCCCCATCACCACCAGCACCACCATCACCTCCATGATCTCCATCGCCACCATCACCACCACCATCACTACCATGACCTCCATTCCTCCATCACTACCACCACCATCATCACCACCATCTTTCCAGGCCCCGTCTCTCATTTCAGACCAGCCCTTGGAGGCATCTGAGCCCCAGTGGGGCCTGGGCATAGATACCTCTCCCACTTGTCCAGCATCTACACAAGTGTGCTCATCACCCCCACAACTGGCCTGTGCATGCGTGGAGGCATCAATCAACACAGTCACCCAGCAGCAACAGAAATGTCTTTCCTTCTCTCAGCGTGATCGTTAATTACTGCTTCACAGCAGAGCTCAGAGGAAGGCCGCCTGTCTCCCATTTCTCAAACAAAGGCATGAAAAATTCATGGGCTAGGGGACCTTGCCACTGAGCCCGTGGCTCCCATCAGACGTAGCAGCATCCGGGCCTGGCCCAGAGATGCCCGTGGTGGGTGGGGAAAAGAGGGGCAGTGGGAGTCTCTGTGGAGCAATGGAGACAGAGGCACCAAGAGGCTGCTGTCCTGGGGGATGGTCTGGGCCCCGCCCTGGAGGAAAGCACTGAAAACCGCCCCAGCTTTGCCTCTGCCTAACCCCCATCTTCCCTCTCAGGTGACCCTGCCCCAATCTAGGAGTGAGAAGGCTGAGGGGCAGTCACAGCTGGACCGATCCTTAACAGCCTGGGACCCACTCCCAACTGGCACTGTCACCTGCAAAGGCTGCAAAGGTCCCAGCAACTGAAACCCCAAACACCAAAGGATCCCAGGCCCTGTGTGAGCGGAAGATGATGAACACTGGGCTCCACCCAACTAGACGCAGAGGCAAGAAGGTCTGAGCTGCTGGCTGGTCAGTGCTCACCCCACACCCTGGGCAGTACCCACATGGCCTGAGGCGGCCACATTCAATTTCTGTGGGCCTGGGGACACTGCAGAATCCCAGGTGGCACAAGTCCTTAGTGTGGGCAGCATTCACTGGGCATGTCTTCGTCACTTATGTGCCATGTGCGAGCCTGCTGGCCTGCGTGGGTGATTGTCCCGAGACACACTGAGGATGCTCTGAGGCCTCTCACATGTAGGCAGCGGGGTCTCCTGCCCAGTGCATGCTCTGCCCCAGGGTGTCCTGGCAGGTGTCCCAGTGTGTGTGCATGGCACCTGTGCACTCAGGTGACCTGCCAAGGGGCCACGGGGCTCCACACGTGGTTAGCAGCACAGGCTTTGCTGACAGCTGTGGGTCTCAGCATGTGGGCTCTGGCTTATCCAACACACTGCTCCTCAGAAGAACGTGGGGGAGGGGGAGAGGGCCCACCCATTTGCTGGGGAACCCACCCTGCTCTGTCCATGCTGGCTCGAGGAGCTCACCTCCCTTTCTGCCACAAAGGCTCCATCAGGATGTAGGACAGAAACCACCTAAGGGACACA